CCCGGAGAAGGCCTCTGGAAAGTGTGCCGAGAAGAAGGCAGAGCGGCGTCCAGTCCCTGGTATTCTCAACATCGCGGCGGCGACCAAGGCGGCGCAAATCAAGGACGTGGAGGCGCAGCCTGCGTCAGACAAGGCGACCACAGAGAGGGACTCTGCCTTCCCAGCGCTTCCGGCGCCCACGCCGCTTTCCACGTCGTCTCCCCTTAATAGGGCCGCTCCCAAGACCCTTCGAGTTGTCTCGACGCCCAAGACGGAGGCGCCGCCGACCCCGGTGCTGACCACTCCCGCTGTGCGGTCCGTGGCTGCGGCGGCCATTCGCCCCGAGACACCCGTTAGCGAGTTGATTTCGGACAGCGCGTCCATCATATCGGCGTCCATTTCCGCTTCTCGCACGAACTCCCCTCCCCCTTCAAGAGTTGGCTCTGCACCCGTCCGAACCACAACCAAGAGCCAACAGCGCAAACAACGCAAGGAGGCCTTGAAGAAGGAGTCGGCGACCATTGCAGCGCAGCCCGTCAAGGTAGAGACAGCCGCCGAGATTGGGCCAATCGTTGGCCGCAAGAAGAAGCAGAAGAAGGAGAAGGAGAAGCCGGGCAGCAGCAATGCAACACCGACGGTCAGCCGCCCTGAGACTCCGCTCGCGACTCACGCGAGTCCGGTCAAGGAGACCAAGGAAGCCGCTGAGGTCAAGGAGGCCAAGGAAGAGTCGTCGGCTTACCGGTCTACGGCTAACGAGACCACCACTCTGACCGATGAGCCGCTGCACAAGGGCAGGTATAGCGACCTGAAGAACAAAGCCGGCGAAATGCATGACAGGGACGCAGATGCGTCAACCCCTCGGACCCTGCCAACGCCTGCCTCGGTGCTGCACGACCTCCAAGTGGCCGGGCTGATGCCTGACAACTTGGAGAGCCTTCCTTTCTTCAAGCCATTCACCATCCAGCTGGACAAGTCGCGGAGTGATACCAATAACGCAGTTGCTCGGGACCAGACGAAGAACTCGGTGGCCCCGACCAAATCGATCGTCACCGAGGACGACCAGGCGGCGCTCCTTGCGGGCAGACCGGTGCGGAAGATCATGGACGGCACGCGCATCCTATTGACACCCAACGGCGACTGCATCCGGAACCTCAGCCCCGAAGAAGAAGACCGCTTCCTTGAGCTTCAACAAGTCGTCGCCGAAGCGACTGCCAACCCCGCGGCTTTCGTCTCCTCCCGCCATGAGGCTGGGAGTGGCTTCAGCCTCATCAAGGGCCGCGCAGTACCCAACGGACCGCCGAGTTACTTCCCCCCGGCCACGGGCGCCTACCCATCGGACCCTGTCAACAAGATCCAACGGGAGGAGGCCATCTACTACATCAACCAGTACGTGCTGCCGCGGCTCAAACTGAATTCCAGGGACATGAGCCTGCCAAAGGCAATGTCCAACTGGACGACGGACCCGCGCGCCTCGGCGGCCCAAGCCGCTGCCGCGAACCTCACCTCTGTTGCGCCGTGGCTGTACGGCGGCGGCCTCGGCAGCCCGTCGGGCTCATCTTCGTCCTACCTGCCTCCCCTGTCCCACGACGATGTGCTCGACGTAGGCGCCGCGCCGCCCGAGCTGAGCTACCCGGGCCCGGTGGGCTCCTTCGTTGATGACCTGCACCACCACGCCGGCCCGCATGGCGTGTATGACGTCGAGCATCTCAACGCGCAGCTCCCCACCGTCGAAGACGTCTTTGGCGATTCCGCTGCCCTCTCGGTGGCAACGAGGCAACAACAACCGGCGCCTCATCATCACCATCACCACAACCACACCCCCCACCACCACCACCATCATCATCACCATCACCAGCACCACCACCAACAACAACAACAACAACAACAACAACAACAACAACAACAACAACAACAACAACAACAACAACAACAACAACAACAACAACAACAACAACAACAAC